TTTTTTTGATGTTACCTGATTAAAATTAATTTTTAGCATCTCATCATTTTCTGCTGGCATTTGAAAAGGAAATCTGCAAAGATTATGTGACGAAGAAATTTTTTAAAATTAAGCAACATTTTATTGTCCCAATTGTTTTGAAAGACTCTATCTACCGAAACATTGCTCCACCATACTCTTATATTGCTGCTGACAATTTTGCATCACCAAAACAGCTCGCTGACTATCTGAAATATCTTGAAAGAAATCATGAAGAATATAAAAAGTGCGTTTTTTTTTTTTTACAACTTCTTACACACAGTAATTAATAAGTCTAAGAACAGTTGCAATTGGCATTAGAATCGTTACATCATTAAAAGTCTGTTTAATTTTTTTCAAACATATAACTAACATTAAAAAATGTGCATTCAAAATGCAAATATAAAAGTAAATGTTTGGTACTATAGAGATCAAATGTTACGAATCAGTACGACACAAAGATCTACTAAAGCGATAAAAATAAAAGTGTGAAAATATTCAAGAAAAAAAAAATCATAATCTTTCTGTTCGTTAAAAATATTTTCAAACGACTGTTCTTTTTACAAAGTAGAGTTATCTCAATTAATGCAAACGGGTAACATAGCTGTAGACAAAATGAACAATGAATATACAAGTTTCTTGAAAAATGCTATCTCAAGAACTTTTTTCTTGTACGGGATTATTCGATTTTTCCAGACAGAATATAATACTTTATATGGTTTGTTGACCGGGGTGTAGTCAGTGAATCTAAAACGCTGGATTCTTTATAACCTTGGTCGTAAATACAAATTGTGCTAAGAACGATTATCAATTGATTCTCTGAATCAGATTATTAATCAGCAAGAAATTTAGTTTTCACTCTTTACCTGAATGACTTTCATTATTGATGCAGGTCAAAAAAATTGCCTGCGAAACAGCCAAGTTTGATAAGTTAACGTAACAATATGACGTCTTGCTGCTATGTTGACAAATTTTGACTCAACCATTTTGATCTATAGTCGTACTACAGCCTCAGACAGCGTTTTTTAAACTGTCGTTATACAGTCAGAATATTTCAGATATTTTGAATGGCGACGAAGTTTTCGAAAAGAACGAGTAGAGCCAAATTTTTGTGAACTATGCAAGATGTTGCACGACGTCCAAAGACCTAGAAAAGTTATTTCAGATATTCATAGCTGGTGGAACACATATAGTAAATGCCAGGAAGATTACGGTCGAACCATAGCAATTTCAAATCGAATTTTTAGGTTTTACAAGAAATTTGTAGTGCGTGAACCAACCGAAATTTTGAATTTTATTATACGTAATTACATTTAGCAAAGAAATATAAAATGTTTTTTATGGAAGGCCAATATCACAAATTATTTAATTCTCAACATTGCTGAAAATACAAACTTTCTTACTTTATACATGCTTCATTATAGTTTTATAACTGTTGTCAACTGTTATTAATAAATGTCAGAGAATAAGCAGTATAGCAACAAACAGCGTAATGTTTCATCAGATTGAAACAGTGAATAAGGGAAAGTTTTCAGATAACAGCTGTATGTTATTTATCGTAGAAAAAACCTTCACTCGTCATTCTTTTTTGCTTCTTCAAAAAGTTCCTGTTACCAGCAAAGGAAAATTTGAGTAACACTGCTAGCGTATAGAGTCTATACCTTTTTCTAATACTCAAAAACGAATTGTTAACAGTTCTATTGGCTGCTAAGTTTCTAGCAATTATTATGTACAAATATAGATGACGAAATATATTTGAGCATCATACATCTATTTTCAACATTTCGAACTGTCTTATACGTCAAAGGCAGCTTTTGTTCGAATACACCAAATTTAAACATAGAAAAAAAGGCAGACACAGCTTTTATCACCTATGCCGTAAACAAGATAAAGTCAAAGTCGGAATGCTTTAACAGTGGTAAACTTTTCACCTGCACTGTTTCGGGTATGCTGCTTACCAAAAATTTGAAAGCAGATTTTATATTTCCAGTCAAAAACATTTTAAATAAATCAGTGAAGCAAAATAGGAAAAAAAAAAAAAGAAAACCAAAAAAGACAAATGTTTTGCGTCAGATTAAGCATAAAAACAATTTAGCACTTTGTAGGCCTATTATTATTATTATTTTTTTTTCTTGCAAATTTCTCTAAATCTGATGACCGAGTTCCAAAAATTATAAAAAAAAAATTTTTGTTTTGTTTTATCTCTTTTCACTGTTAATCGGAACCTTTTTTTTTTGAGATAAGTATATTGAATGCTTTTTTTCATTGGTTTTTCTCAGACAAAGAAAATTTTTTTTCTTACACAGAGGCCAACGTCGGTGAACAGTATCAAGCTTGTAGCAAAAAGAAAGTCATAACTGATTAATTGTAATAAATTTCGCTTTCTGATGATTATCTGTTAGATCGTGTCACCAATTATTTTTTTAAAATAATCAGTAAAATTTTTTAATTTCACTTTTTTATGCTTCAATTTTTGCGTCACTGTTCTACGTCTACACTTAATCAGCGATTTAAAATCCAAACTATAGTTTTCTTTTTCAACTCTTTTTTTCTTTGCGGTCTTTTACTTTGCAGATTTACAGAAATCCCCTCCTTTGTTCAAATTTTATCGGTCATTTATGCTTATACAAAACGCGAATTTAATGTTGTTTAAGTTAATAATTATTCTTTTGATTACACAAAGCCACGGAGAACTAGCAGCAACAACGTACCGATTTGGGATAACTGCTAAAAAAGCAATCTATACACTTCCTAGATTGAGAAGCCAATTAAAGAAGTGCTCAGAGAACAGAAACAGGGCATTGATAATTGGAGAGGTAAGAAAAGGTAGAAAACGGAAAAAAAAACACTTTTTTTTTTGTTTTTAATAACAATAGAAGACGGCGAAATCTCTATTACAAAGTGATTTTGCGATAAGATTCGTTGTTCATTATTAAATCAAAGAGTTTCAGCAGTTTTTGAGTTTCATTTTTTTATCTAATATTATCAGCAAAGCAAAAGAAAAGAAAAAAAAAAAACACTAACAGTATAAAGCATTTTTGCAGATTGGTCAAACAGGCCAGAAAAGATTTTTCTGTTGTTCGTAATCACTGTTAATCTGAACCATTTACCAGTGAAACTGATCTCTGTTTGACGATTATGATCCTAAGTTGCGATTTTCTTCGACAAGGAGCCGTTGTCTGCTAAACAGTATGGTGTATGCATTTTTTTTTTTTTTTTTTTTTTTTTTTTTTTTT